GTTTCGTACTTTAATGCGACTCTTTCGAGATTTCGCGAAGTGCGCGAGAGTCATCCGGATTCGCATCGATTGCGAATCGAGCGACGGAGCTGATCCCATGAAATGAGATACCAAGCGAGGGAGACAGAAAGAAAAAGAGATAGTTTGCTCTCGAAAACGTTTCGTTTCCTGCAATCCTGTTGTCATTCGTACCATTGAGTACTTCACCTTTTCACGAAAGGAAGAAACAATTACGGGAAAGTGGAACGACATTAATATTATATTTCGTATCCTCAAAAGTGCTACGTATCCATTCTATTTCACAGACTTGCCGTTTATTCTATCCGAATGCTTTCTGATGCTGAAACGCTTGAAGTGCCATAAGCGGCACTCCTTTAGGTATCGACAATAGATATTGTTGAAAAGAGAACGCTATAGATGGGTTCGATGCGATTTTTAGGCGCGCCTAGATATAAACACATAAAATAATATCGATGCTTTTATTCGTCTTGTGCATTAGCATTTTTCGAAAAAAACTTTCTGATTGTTAGATTGAACTTCCCGAAACTGTGTAACGCCTGCAACTATCTAACGCGGCTTTAGCACGATTTCTCCGCGCTTCAATTATACCGGTGTTATTGCTTCTCGTCACGAGTCATTGCGTCCGATTTTTCTTTTTTGGCCCAACCACGCCGCGCGTGCAATTACCGTGCGAACGAGGTCGCGGACTTGGTAGCCTTCGATGCTGCAGCATCATCGATGCATCGAGATAACGAGTGCGAGATAGAGGTATGAGATGTACTCTTTAATACTCTTTCGAGATCGCAAATAAGCAATTAGTATCTGTACTTAAAGAAGGCTCAAATTTAATGTTCGAATCTATCGGATGGAAAAATTGTCGTGTAAAAATCGACAGAATCCGGAGAGCCTCCCCGCACGCTGAACATATTAAAAGCCATTACGAAGCTGTGTCCCAGCGTAATGCAGGTTTCCACGACCCTAGCTTGGAACTACGCGTGTTACACGCAAACTTTCGTTTAGCCGCGCTCTATAAAAGATACGATCGATGAAATGACGTATGCGGTATACCTGCATCAGACCTATAGATGTAAATATATCTTATATCGCTGTTTTATCACAATTTTGTCGGTATCTCAGACTCAGAGACGTCCATATTCTTTCTTTACTGCATTATGATAATTTCAGCAAGAGAAAGACTGATAGAAAGAAAAAGGAGGGGAAAGAGAGAGGGGGGGGGAAGGGAGAGGGAGAGAGGGAATGAGAAATGTTCAGATTAAGAAAAATTTTCCATACGTATAAAATGATGAAGATTGTTGGTTCAACAACCGGTAATTTACGCCACGTTATATTCCAGGCTTCACCGTGCTTTTCTTCACAATAATGTTTATTGTCGCGAATAATCTCTCGCGACTCAATTATCTCCTTCGTGAAAGTTGAAGGAACGCCTCAGCAAGAGGAACAACGTGTAGTCGATTATGTACTCTGAAGTAGATTATGGTGAAGAAAAATATGTTTTTGTGCGCGCCACTCTCGTTCGCGAGTTTCTGTTAAGTTTCTGCACAGATTTGTAATATCACGTAAAGAAATGCAAGACAATGGCACATTTCGCCATAATACTCCTATCGGAAGAGAGAAATGTATTTTTATTTTTAAATGTTATTACTGATTATTTTATATTCTCAAGAAACAGAAATAAAATATTCATTGCAAAAGCGCGCGTATAAATTAATATAAAATTAATATCTACTGGGAATAGACAAAATAATGAGCACCTGGGAAATATATTACTTTTTTTTTTTTAGTAATAAAAACTTTGTTTTTTATATTTACATTTGTCTTTAATACAGATTCTATCTTTTGTTAGAAAAGTGATGCTTGAATAATGTAACAACTACAATGATGTAGTAATGTTATATCATTGTTTTATATTTAAAAAAAACATCTTATTACTAAAAAAGATTAGAGAAGGAAATTTATTTTTTTTTCCTCTATCCTTCAAAACTACAAATGATTCTATGATATTTAAATTGGATGATTGCATTAGTCAAGAAAGACTTTAAAGTTTTAGAAAACAGTGGATAATTTCAAAATTTTCTCTTCAATATCATTTATATAAGCAATTTATATAAGCAATTGAAAGATGTTTTACTAACAGAATAGTTAAAAGTACAACATTCTTTTGATTGGTTAGTTATTATTTTGTTTGTAATGTACATTGTGTTGACTACATGTGAGTGTATAAGTCTTACAATTTGGTGAGTGATTATCCACACTCATTCTCTCTCTCTCTCTCTCTCTCTCTATTATAGTCTACCTCGTGAAGTTTTCTTGTTTTATCTGATTATTTAACCCCGATGGAATAAATAGGAATCTTTATAGTGAGGCTAGTTCCAGAATTGCACGGCTTACATGAGAGCGTAATAATTTGTTTTAATTCGTTGAGAACGACGTACTTGAAGTATGTCGAAGCACGTACGAAATGAAGACTGTTTATTAATATGGTATTAATATAGATTGAATTTTTATTTTTATATTTGCGCACCACGTCAATTCTATATTTCCTTACATATATATTTGTTCTTTAATTTGTTGAATATTAAGGAATCTTATTTCATTTATATTTGTTATTCCATTGATAATCGTTCAAGCATTGTGTGACTTTATTTCAACAAGAATAGAATGTGTATTAAAAGCAAATAAAGCAAATGATGATCAACCTCTAATCCTAATGTAATGTTGTTCTATGAAAAGTATAATATAACATTCCATTGATAATTATTCAAGCATTGTATCTCTCTATCTTTGTAACTTTAGTCTAATAAGAATAGAACATATAATTAAAAATAAAAAAAACGATAGATCTCTTATTTATAATAAAATAAGTAAAATTACAATAAATTACACAAAATAAGAGCCAAGCTGGACTATTTGATACTATTATATTAACCAATAATTAGATACAAATTAACAAAAAACAAGAACATACGTTTCAATCTCTATGATTATTTTCAACATTTAACAATTAAAGTAAAAAAAATGTGGTACATTCCGATATTATTTATAAAAACCTAATTATAATGTAAATTTTAATTTTTTACATGATAAAATCGTTTGCAATTTTTTGTAAGATGTTATTAAACGAATGGCTCATAATTCAACAGAACGGTAGAATAATCAATACTCATATAAGTTATTGATAATTAAGTGCTCTTAACAGTCAATTGTAACAAATCTATAATTCTATAAAACAACGTGTGTCTAATACTTAAAAGAGCCGTCCAATTTTCTGTTTAGCTATTTGTATTATTTTGTCTATCCTCTGTATATCTCCATACAATAGTTGACGTGTCTCACAATAAAAAAGGATTCATGCTGTCTAGATTCTCGGTATGAATGATTCAAGCGAACAGAGTAAAATCATAAGGAGACTTACTGCTTCATGATACGAGATCAAAGAGCATATTATGTATTTTTTCTAATCTTTTTCACAAACCGTGAAAACACGTAATGTAAAGAGAAGATAAAAATGGATACATGTGTAAGAAATAATATCTGCTAAAGGTTATCGTAAATTCAGATTTACAGGTTTCGATAAAAAATTTCCACAGTTTCTTAATTCATGTGTATATAATATATGCATCTGTAGCATGCTTTGTAAGTGGAGCATCATCGTTACGATAAGCAACGATTACATCCGTAACACTTCTTTCTTTTTTGCGATTATCTGCCAACGACTCATTTGACTTTCGAATAAGATGGTGTTGCGGCATCTCTCCGATTGTTCGATCACGCATAATGATGATACATTTTGCACTTGCAAATCAGTAAGGTCACTTGGACAGAATGTGATTTATAAAGATTGAGTTGCACATGCATTATCATTGTGGAACAGGCATGATAAGATATGTAAAATATCCTAAAATAGGCGTGATAGGAGATATAAAATATATCGGTCTGTAAATTTATGCAACGATATATATGCCACGTCATACTTCTTTCCTTTATGTCATTTATTCTCTTACCGTTCCGTTTACTCGATTCTATTCTCATCTTCTCCTCATCGATCCGAATGACCTTCCTTTTTCTTCCTCGATTTCACGCATACATGAATTAATTAATTAAGTACATGAAACATAATTCGCTTCTTGAATATAGAGTGTGACGTAAGGTTGCTCAAGTGATATGTGTCGTGGCGACCTTGAATTTTCATCGCGTGCCAAGATTACGCTCTCTGGCGAGTCTCGCCGATCAATTATACACCACTTGGTTCGATCCGATGCATAGTTTTTGTCTGATGTTACGAACTCGTCGTTAACATTTTTTCGCATGTTAACATCATTCTTATATAAAAGGAGTATATTTCCTAGTTGCTTTTGCTACGCTCGTAATACGATCGACAACAGCTTCAAATTCATAGCTGTTTGTGGTGACAAGCATTTGTGTCTTATTTGTGTCTGTTTCGCTAACTAGATAGAATCTCATTAAATTCTCAGATTTAGTCACGAGTTGTCAAGTTGTACGTGCTTTCAGATGTCTGATAGGCACAAAAAGATTATAGGTACATCGATTCTCGTCCAAGCACTTAAAGGTGATGCAGGAACCATTTTAAAGTTAGAATTGAGGTTGCACACGGGATAAACATAACTTTCTCTAATCCACATTCCTAGAGAGAGATATTGTTGTTCTATGTTCTTTTCTCGGCACCATATTATAATTTACGTGACAATTTTCGAAAGGAATACAATGTAATATATATAATAAATGCAATATGCGTTTTTTTTTCTTACCATTACTAGATTATTATTATTAGAAAAATACTTCAGTGCACGTGTTCTGTAACTTTTTATGACAGCGTCAGTATCATTTAGAAGTTACAGAATACAGACTCAGAGCCGTATATTATGTAACTCTCGTATTATCTATATATTATCTATAATTTGTCAAAATATATTCTAGAGCAAAAACAAATATTTATTTTGATTTTGATTTTTGTTTATCAGATGTCGACCTGCAGACTCAGATCGATGCTTCACTGGCGATGCCAGCCACTTATCAGACCCTTTGCGCACGTGCTCATTTAGCCCAACAGTGTTGTGGCCTGGCGCGTGAGCAGACGAGGATCTGCGAGAGGCTGGTTCACGATCAGCATCTCCAGCAACAAGGCTGGGCCGCAGTGGTCGCCAATCTCGAGGACATCACGCATATGTTTCAATCACGAGCCGAGCAGTTCCAGCAAGCCTTCGTCTTGTACCTCGCCGAGAGGCAGCAGCACATGAAGCTCCTTGATAAGTATGATGCTTTTTTCGTTTTCCTCAATTCTATTTCATTTTGTCAGTTCTATTGATGTGTAAATATCAGTTCCATTTCATTGATGTGTAAATATCGTGGAATTCTATTTTTGTTTTCAATATTCTTTCGATATCGATGAATTTGTCGGAATTGGTTTTTATAAGATTTATGATGACAAAATTTAATGAAAATAAAGTTAATAGAGATAATAAAGAGTTTCGAAGAATTATAAAATATTTTGTCTTTATTTTGCATTACTTGCATAAAGTCAATAATACTTGCAAAAATAGTCAATAATTTATGAGTGCGACAATTTAATTGGCAGGATGCATTGAACGATTAATGCACTAAGGACTGGTTTTCTTTCGTAGATTTTATCGAGCTGATCAAAGCTCGATTGAATAATAGTGAGAGTACAGATTAATGAGCTTAGGACGTGTTACGGGATATTAAGCAAATTTTTTGTAATGAATTATGAGTAACAGCTACCATAAACGTATAGTGTAATGCTGCTCTTAATAATTACTTTAATTACAATGGAATATAATTACTATTGAAGTCACGTTTTAATTATCATAGCTTTTGATTACCATGTTTAATCGTAGCTTCAATTATCATTGGTTATATTGCTAATGAGTAATTAAATTAGTATTAATTTTATCCCAAAATATGCGCATCAAAGTTTATTGTTCGTCAAATATAAGTACTTAATGTCTGTAACATTCTAAGTGTAAATTGAATTTTTTAATTAATAATAATCAGAAGTAGAGTAACATTTAAATTTATGTTTTTCATTCTATTAAATAGCGAAATTACGCTTGAAAAAAATGAATGCAAAATTTTATTGCAGCTTCAGCGCCGATCTCGGTACTCTTGCAAAAATTCCAATTTTGCCGGCCTTGAGAGCTCAAGCCGAGGGCTTGTTGAGTCCGGATGATCAACCGAGTCAAACTTCCGAAACTGTATCGGAGGATAGTGGGGAAGTACTAAGTCTGTTACGATGGATCTCTGCGAAAGACAATCAAAGCAGCCTAGAGCAAGTGGCAGAGCAATGCTCGCGTGGCCTGGAGCAGTTCGATGAACGATTGATGCAGGCCTTGAAGGCAGAAGTGAACGGGGCTGTCGATAATGCTAATAAACAGGATATGAAAGAGATTAAGGGTCTAGGCGAGAGGCTGTTTGCTCTGGAACAGTTGATGGTGCAGACCAAGAGACTTGTTCACGAGCAAGGCGAGCTTGCTCAAGGTTTTCTGCAGAATCAGAATCGCGCGAGCAATTTAGGCGATGCGAGCGTCCTGCCAGATCTTTGCAATTCTCATCGGCGGCAATTGCTCGTCATGTTGCAAAATCACAATCAACTGCGCGATATCCGCCGCAGATGCACCAAGGCGAAGGAAGAGTTGTCGGTGAATATCTATCATCGCTTGAAATGGATCATGTACGTGGAGAATAAGATGGTGGAAGTGGGCAACAAGCTAATCATATATCACGAGAGCCTGAAGCGGTTGCGACGGCATCTGGAAGTGCTCCAACAGATACACTTAGCTCCGCAGATGTATATTAGCGCGGTGGTTGAGGTTGTTAGAAGGCGCACCTTCTCGCAAGCTTTTCTCGTATGGGCAAGCAATCTGGCGTGCCAACTGTTGACTGTTCATAGCGAGGAGTTGGCACGTAGGCGAGAGTTTCAGAGCAAATTTGACGGTCACTTCTTGAACACTCTCTTCCCCGGTCTGGAGGACACACCACCGCCTTTTGCAACGCAAGCACCTTCCGTTTTTGACAATGGGCTACCTAAGGTAAGATCTGTGATAGACTTTTATTAGTTTAAAGACTTTTATTAGTTTATTAGTTAGTTTAAAGTATACATATACGAATAATTTATTCTTAATATTTAACTATAGCTGACCGCGGACGACATGGAGTCATTGCGATCCCAGCTTCCGGATTTGGCGCTTACAATTTCTACGCCGGATTTGAGCAGCATAACGCAATTCTTCTTATCGAAAAGCTTCACCGAAGGTAGCACCGATGGTACTAAGGAAAAAGACACCACATCAGTGAGCACCGATATTCCCACAAAGGAACAAGAACGCACTAGAGCGCCATTGTTATCTGATAGGTGAGTCTTAATCCGTTATATTGTCACTTATATACAGATGAATTATATAAATCGTGAACATCACGTATCCATTTTCAGGGGCGATTTTGAATCCGAAACTGATACGGAGGAGTTCGAGAAAATTGGTCAAGCCGGCGTGGAAGTAACCAAGCCTGGCGTGTTCGACGGGGCGAAACAGAAACGGCAGAAGCAATTGGAGGTTGGTGCCTCTCGAAGCGTGTCCCCCGCTTCCTCGACCTCGACTAATGTCTCCCCGTTAAACTCGAAAGTCGCGGATTTAACAACACGTTCGACCACATCAAGCGAACCCGGCTCTTTCCAATTTCCCAGTCTATCCGCCACGAGCGAGCGTCCGGTGCAGCTAAGTCCGTTGACCGAGTGCGTGGAGAACGGTGCCGCCGATTCTTCCAGTTGTTTGCTTCGCAGAGGCGTGAGCGGTCTCTTGAATTATCGTGACGCTATACCGCTCGAGGAGCAACATTCCCTGAGTCCGAATCCTCCTTCCTTGCGGTCCTCCATCATGTGCGACGGCCAGCATCAGCAACATCAGCATCCGCTATCCGGTAGCGGAGGTAGCAGTCCCTCCGTCGGTGTAGGTGCTACCGACTTCATGGGTACGGAATTTTACATGGATGAATCTCTGCCGAGCAGCCTTAGCGAACATCCCGCCGACGGCCAGCATCAGGCTATCGTGTCCCTCCTTCAGGTATTGGACGACTTACAGCTCGCTAACAAACAACTATTGTAGTCGTAGCCGTAAAACGTTCCATAAAGTACTGCCTTTATCATTATTCATCGTTTTCTAAAATTAATATGTTCTAAAATGTACAACTTTCTCTTTCTCTTCTTCTCACCTTTCTTTATATTTTCCTCTCTCACTGCCCTCTCCGCATCAAGATATCTCTAAAATATTACTCGGTACTTTGTATTTAAATATATTAGTAGTTGATTCAATTTTCTTTATGATTTCTAGGTGCTTTCGTTATTATATCTTTATATTCGTTAGTGATTAGAATTGACTATATGCAAATTAGATCTCGTGACGTGGGTATGTATTACTGTTTGACTTATGTTCCGTAACGTTCGAACTAATTGAACTGAATCTCTTGTACTCCCTGATTTCTGTTTGCACAAGTATGGCACTATGGCACTCAATAATAGACACGCGCGCGTGTGTATACATATATATGCGTGCATCTTGATTTTTTACAGGATAGCTGGCGTCGCACTCGTTTCCCAATCCCTCGAGTCACATTCCTTTCAGAACCCATTGAACTCATCCACACAATTGCTTTTATAAAGACATTTATTTCTAAATTGAAATGATTGCAATTTTACGAACACGCATTCGTGATTTAAAATTAATAAAGAGAGTGAAATTTTCCTTGACTAATCTCCTTGACGAATTCTCCTTGACTACTTTTACTCAAAGTCGAGGACAATCCGTTGCACAAAATATGATTTTTAAATAACTTATTGAAATATTCTCTGGTGCTCATCATTTCAGGAGAATCTCGGTAATACGCGTGAGGAAGTGGAAAGGTTGCGTTCTATCCTGAAGACCATGAAAACGGTTGTATGCGAGGAACTCAGTTCCGTGCGGAATGAATTGGCGATTCTGCGAAATCAATCTAATGAGGACAAGAACGGTATCGTCGAGATGACGGAGCGCGTTCGAGTGGCATTGTCCTTGCACTCGCGAGAGTACGATCGACGTCTTCAAGAACGTGAACAGGAAATGACAATCGAGCACGAGTATGAGATCGCGGATGTTAAAAAGCTAATGCAGAATCGTGAGGAAGAGATCTGCACGCTCAAGCGTAATCTTCTTGAAAGAGAAACTGAATTGGCGGAGCATGAGCGACTGGTGGCCACGATGCATCAAAAATTGGAAGACGAACAAATTGAGAGGAGAAATTTACATGATCGTTTACATCAACAACTCGAGGACTATTCGAGGGTACTAGAACAAGCGCGCATAGATAAGGAAGAGGCCGTAAAAAAATTGAATGACGAGAGATTTCTCGAGATCACTTCTTTAACGAATTCATTGACACAATGCCAGAAGCGAATTCAAGAATTAGAGGAGAATCTGGTCACCGCGCGCAATGATCAGGAGAGAATGGTGAAGGAGGCAACTGATAAATTGCAGATGGAATATAAAACGGAATTAGAGACCATTCGGAGCCGCTTCAAACTTATGACCGCTTCTACCATGGAAAGGAGTCCTAGCGATTCTAGTTTAGAGAAAATCGAAGTAAGTAATTTGTTTATTCCGATTATTAAAAATGTAAGAGACAATATAAAAGACAATATAAAAATGTTAATTCTATTTCTTGCAGCGAACAGATGTTATTGAACTTGTAAATCATGAGGCAATTTTGGCGCAAGCAAGAGAAGATATGAAAATTGAGAATGCTGTAGCAATCCGTACTGCTATCATAAAGGAAAGGGCCGATTGCATGACAAAATTGGACAACGAATTAAGATTGGCGAAGGAAGTGGTCGAAGAGAAAAATAGGGAAATAGAAATGTACAGAATGAGAACGATCGCGCTGATCGAACAGGGTAAACATTATAAGCATACGATAGATCGATTACTTGGAGATTTCGAACTGAAATCGGAGATACAGCAAACTTTGATGGAGAAGGTATGATATCACATTCATACACTTAATCCGATAGTGATAATCTAAAGAAAGATCACTTTGTATATTTTTGATTGATCATTATATATTTTATATATTATTATTTATTTTATCTGTTTTATTTTTTGTGTACTTAGATGAAAAATCTTGAAGCGGACAAGGCGTGTTTGGAAAACAAAGAAGCCGCAGACAAAGCAATGCGAACAGTTGTGGAACAAAACGATGATATTGTGTATCCTCTAGAAGCTGGAGTATGCAAAGACTTGAGTTACGATCGATTGGATGCTAGTCAAATTCTAGAAGACATTTTCAAGGAATCCGAAAAGTATGAGGTTGAGGTTTCAGAATCGAAGAAAGTACGATTGGAAGCTGACGATGATGATCTGGCTCGACTATCGAGACGACTTGAATCTCTCGAAAATGACAATAAAAGGCTGTCCTGCGAGCTAAATTCGATACGCGCGAGTAAAATAGCGGCTGAAGCAAAAGTAGAGGCATTAATGACGGATAAAATTCGTTTGGAGGTTGAGTTGCTGAAAGAGCGTACCAAGAGGACATTTGGTATTGATCCGATGCCGGAAAATCGCGACAAAGACATGAATGCGTCGGTCGCAGTCGTTTCGGACTCTAATTCAAGTCGGGACGCGGCCACGAGTCCAGAGCCGATGAGTCGACGATCATCTTCCAAATCAATGTGCTTCCACCCCTCCCTTCCCTCATACGTACATAAGAAGGTCGCAGAAAAAGTGGCAAAGATGGTGCAACAGGGAATTGTCACCATCACTAGTTGTAATCCAGGTGATGTGGTACTCGTAGTCTGGGACGCTGTACATTGCAATTATGCGGTGTATCAAGAATCTTCGACTTTTTATTTCCTTCATTCGGACTGCGTAGGTGCAATGGAAGGAATGAATCCGAGTGCTTCTCGGAAGTGCGTTCTCGCTGAAGTGATCGATAAGGAGTACTGTCACGCGAGAAAGGTAAGACTTGTTAATAAATTATCGTAGATTGTAAAATTATATTCTATCTAATTAAATAATATATCATTCATTACAAAAAGTGAAATATAATCTCGTTCTTTTTCTAGCATGAAAATCGATACCACGTCCCACGTGGCACGAAATTCTACAGAGTGCATGCTAAGCCACGAGATGCACGCGCGCTGACAGACGAGACGGGTTTGATGTCAAAGAGTCAACTACCGTAATTTTTCAGACTGTGTCGAGAATCCCTTGATTCTTGCCTAGTACAAGCGCTGTGATCGAGGATTTGCGTCGGCAGACCGCGTTCGTTAGGGGACCAGCGACTCGGAACGCAAATCCCGAACTTACGTCTCCGCAACCATCCGGAAACCTCGGATCTAGGCCAAAACCTGCCAGAGCCTCTAGACGCATCCTTGATGAACGCTGGAAAGGGAGTGATCTATAGAAAGAGGTATGCGCAAGTTGGATAACATGAAATGAGACGGAAGGATGCGCCGGCGTTTTATTGTGATATAAATAATTTTTAAACGAGTGAAACATATTTGCCGAATGCTGTGGTTAGCTGTGAAGCGTAACGATATTTGTATTCTTCGACTTTCTTTTTTCATAAATGAAAAAAAACAAAGGAATGTGAGTGTCGTCAACGATTCTCTCTTTCGATAATTCGATAGATTGACTAGTGTGTGTGAGAAAAAGGGAAGGTTGTTTAACTTCAACATTAGATGTACAATGCGGAAAGACGAAAGCGTGTTCAGCTTCCTCTCTCCGCATTCTGATAATTATGTTTGCATTGTGTGAGACAAGATATAGCTATAAGTTTTACAAAACCAACATGTTATGGGAATGTGCGATTTATATGTCGTGAATATATGTATAGTTATAAATATATATATAATCGCATTTGATTACATATATAATTATATATACGTGTATATAATTATATCATGTTTTATACACACACACACACACACACACACACACACACACACACACACACACACAACTGTACAAGGGGTGCAATATCTGCATATAAAAATCTCATAGGTCCTAAAAATTTTGGGGCTAAGATTTTGTAAAGTGAAAATTGTCTCGTAAATGTGTTGTGCAATTTCATGAAAATACGTCATCTAATACAGATTATTTATACGAAGACATCGTGTTACACGATATCAACATATTTCCGATGATTCTCTTTTGACAATGTCTTGCGTATTTTTTGTCGCAAATTGTCCTTTCATTTTTTGCATACTTTCAGTCATACACTTTCATTTTCTTTTTTTCTTGATACTTTTCGCAATCTCTTTGTATCAACGAAATCGAGAGATAGGTAAATGTAAAAGTCAATGTTTCGTTCGAATAGAATGAATGAAACAAAGGCTATAGTACCATTCAATCTACTTATTTCGTCTACATACACTTTTCAAACGATAGTTTAAATAATGCCCATCAGAGAATCGACTCCGAGAGAGAAAGAGAGAGAGAGAAAGTATACTCTCCGCGTAGAAAGAATTTTATAAATATACACGTACATGTATATGTATATATCCTTTTCTATTATTTGACTAGTAACCACGCAAGTACACTCATCGCCACACAAAAGGGTCGCTTGCGAAAGATTACTCGTAAACTCTTTTAGTTGCATTATATATCGTTAAACATTGCTACTATCGTTTCTCGTGACGCGTAAACACTAGTACAGTACAATAGCTGTGATTGTTAGCTTCACGTTCTCACTTCTACTTAGTCACTTCTACTTAATTAAATTTAATTCCTCGCGGTGTCGAACGATGATCCATTCTTTGCTTGATCGAGGACACAGGTGTCATGAATCTTTTTTCTTTTATACAAAAAGAAAAAGTAATGCAAAACAAGTCTCGATCATTTATGGACGACGATCATTGTTCGTACGCGAACTGTTTCGAATTGATGCAAACAGTCGATAGAGCCGATAAAAGGCAGTTTGCAAAATATGCTGATACGTAAGATAAACCGTTCGGTAGGATAATAAGGTATCTTGAGGTCCTCTCAAGGAAATGACACGTTCGCTTTTGGCGTACTGCGAAGAAGTAGTAGCCTGTAATTACTCTTTTGTCTTCTTGATTCGAAACGCACGTGTACACCGCACATTCATGCGCGCAAGACGATGAAGATTCTTGCGTCCCCGAGGATGAACGGAGACATTAAGCTTCCCTTCTCTCTCAGAAACATCCTCGTCCTTCATCATCGTCATTATCGTTGCACGAAATCGCATACGGAGAAGAAGAAGAACTCGTATACATCGAACTAACTGCTATGTAAAGAAATGATGATAATAGCATTATGATGATGAAAAAACTATTCAATTCGAACATCGTACATTTGATCTCTATATGCGATTTCTATGTCATGTATACCTACGGTTCCTACTAGACCAAATTTTTTCGTAGGTTTGATAGCGCCAGGGAAGCTCGATGCACCGAAACTCTCCAGGCACGCGACACTAAATATCATATTGCTTCGAATTGAATATTTTTCGATAAGCTCACTTATTCTCACACTTGAATGATCGCTCTCTTTTTTAGATATATTTATAAATTTTTGCAACACCAACGACGTGGCTATTGAAATGATTCTCATTTCATCGTACATTTGGAAGTAGATACCGTTTCATCATTCCTTGCAAGAAGAGAAAAAAGAACAAGATGTATTTCTACAAATGCAATCTACAACTTCCAAAAAAACTCTAAGTCATTATTGTCATTTAAAATTGTATGACCTTCAGATTAATTTAGATAATTTAAAGATGATTGAAAAATGGAATTTTTCAAAAGGATACTCATCACTTGGAAGAAAAAGCAGTCTATTGTTGTAAATATGTGTAGATAGATGTGCCCGCAATGCGATATTAATTTACACTTAATACGCAATTCGAGGATTGGTGAAGAAACATTAAACTGCGAAGTCGAATAGCGGTCCTTCGGCGTTGCTGTTTATATTTCCGTTGAAAATTCTCGAAGCCCTACCTACATGCATCTTTATAATAATTTTTTGCACCATATGACATAAGATAAAGTGTGGCAATGCTTTAAAGCGAGCTAATTGTCTAATTCTCCAATTTGTCCTTGGAAGATACTCTAACGAACTACGCTGTTGCTCGAATTTTTTTTTCGAAAAAAGTAAGAAAGATCTGTGTGTAATTGTGTTTTTACTTAGCTCTGTCAATCGATTTTGATAGTCCTAGTTTAGTTTAATAAATTGAGAACTTAAATATTAAAGTGTTCTAATATCATAAGCGTATTACTTATTGCGAATTGCTTGTATACTCAGTTAAGAATTACGATTGAGTTGAAAATTTATTCGTTTGAATTTGTTCAAAATTGACTGATACTTAATGAAGAAAGAGCACAAGAAGAAAGATAATTAGAAGATAAAATTTTCCGATGATAAGAAGTAATTGGCAATTATTGAGGTCAAATTTCGAAGGAATAAATATATGATATGAAAAGAGAAGATGCATTTAGTATTGTGTAATTCTAACTTAATGAGATTTTGCTTTTTTTGTATGCATGCATAAAGATGTAGCGATAGAAAAGTTTCGATTTGTATACAATTAAGATTTTTTAAATTAGGTATTTTGAAAATTAAATTAAGCTTAAATTAATATACGGTTTGGCAGTAAATTGTAAGGACGAATAGATCGAGATTGATTCGCGGTATCTTTGATTTAACTTTGACTTTCAGTTAATTAATTAGTGTTGATTTCTCTTATTGAATCAGATTAAATTGATTAAAAACTACGAACAGTGTGTATGTTGTGTTATATGAGAGTTGTCTTTTATATAAAAAAAGAAAAGTATCGAAAGAATCAAATAGCGGCAAGATCGACTGCTGATCGAGGCAATGATACAATCGCGTTTAACGATTACGTAACAATCACTACTGTGCCCATTTATAAGGTGCAATTTATAAGATCGGTCTGTCGCGAGAGCAAAGCTTCTGTCTCCATCGTTACATCCGTTATCAATACTGAAGAGATCTGAATCGTTGGAATCCCATCAGTGCTTTCCTCTCTGTCTCCCTTTTTCTTCGGTAGCATTTTTCCCTCCTGACGCTGCATTACTTTAGGATTCTCGTCCTGGCCAGCCTGCGATCGCGCGGACGTGTCTCGCATCCGTTCGTGTGTCCTGTTACGTTCGCCGCATGCGAACGCTCTCGTGAAAACTTTCGTTAGAGATAAGTAAAGAAAAAGATATCGCGCATGTGTAATCGAGAAAGTGTAATGCATAGGCATAATATAATAATAATAA